TACTCTACACATCATGCTCACCTCTTATAAGAAAAGATTCAAATCCCTCTATAGATGAAGACTTGCTGAATAGCTTCTAGCAGCCAATATATAAGGTTGACTTTTAGACATCAACTTATGCAGGAAGTGTTAATATTTCATCTTGGTGGCTCTGTAATATTTCAGGCCCATCCAACTGTCCTCGAGGCAACATTCAGAAAGAACAATCTGAGTGACCAAGAGGGAGATTTTCTGTCACTGATAAAATATAACATGCCAGCCCCACGTCAAGCCTGAGTGCATCTTTACCATTGGAGCAAGCAGAGACCACCAGAAACCTAACCATTCATTCTGTAAAATAACTACTCCGACATTTAACGTGACTTATCAGCGGAACGGAGCAGTTTTCATATTAACCCTTCTGATAGAAAAGGCATCCATTTTTGTGAGGCAACAGACACTGACTACAAGATTATTCTATCACCCATCTTTAATCAGTTGAATGGGAAAAGTCTTTACTATCAAAGGGCAGTTGAGGAAAAGTGACAGTTCTATAGATCATTATGGATAATATTTTGTTAAAAGAGAATATTCATTGCCTAATTTATAAGCAGCATGACTTTCAAAGGGTTTTCATTCATGGAGACCATGTCTTTATTAAAGCAGATTTAAATATAAATAAAATATAGCTAAACATCTAGGAAAATGGACTCATTGCCCATTCATTGGACTTCCCCTGGACTGAGAAAGTCAGAATAGAAAGATTGCCTTTTTCTCAAAGTTCTAATATTTACCAGTATGTAGTTGGTAGGAAAATGAATACTAGGAGAAAGCAACAGAGTTACCTGATGAATCCTTCCACAATTAAAAATATATGCACTATTTCATGAATGAAAATGTATTACTGATTTATAAATTATAAAGTAATATATAACAGTATACCAGTCAATCACTAAAGAGAAAGAAGAGCATCGAAGGTTTCAATTTTGAAACCTTTCTTGTGTAGCCTATCTTTAATGCATCCTCTTACATTCAGCCTCAAGATTTTGAACGTTGTGATGATCACATCTTCATTTTTCTTTAAAATTTTACCAGGTTCTGCTTTTTCTTTTCTTTTCTTTTTCTATTTTATTTTACTTTAAGTCTGAGATACATGTGCAGAACGTGCAGGTCTGTTACATAGGTGTACACGTGCCATGGTGGTTTGCTGCACCTATCAACCCACCATCTAGGTTTTAAGCCCCTCATGCATTAGGTATTTGTCCTACCACCCTTCCTCCCCTTGCTCCCCACCCCGCGACAGGCCCTGATGTGTGATGATCCCCTCTCTGTGTCCATGTGTTCTCATTGTTCAAGTCCCACTTATGAGTAAGACCATGCAGTGTTTAGTTTTCCATTTCTGTGTTAGTTTACTGAGAATGATGGCTTCCAGCTTCTTCAATGTCCCTACAAAGGACGTGAACTTATTCTTTTTCATGGCTGCATAGTATTGCATGGTGTATACGTGCCACATTTTCTTTATCCATTCTATCATTTAAGTGCTTTTTCAATATGTCATTTACTTTTCAAGTTTGGAAATAATATATAAAAGAAATCATACTATACATATTATTTTAATATTTGTTTCTGTTTTATTTCTTGCTCAAAGTATTTTGTGAGATGTACTTATGATGTGTGCAGATATTGTTTATTTTATTTCTGCATAATGTTCCCTGGTATGAATAAGCCCCAATTTATTTACCCATTTGACTATTTTTGGATTGGTTGGATGTTACCAGTTTTGTTGTTGTTTTCTTTTTAGGTGTCCTGCTGGAAGCAATGGTGCTAACAATGTTGAAGAGGTTCCTTAGGGCATATTCCTAGAAATGGAATTGCTGTTCTCTAGGACATAAACTATTTTAACAATATTACATAATCACTAATGCATTCTAAAACTGTTGCGATGCTCCCAGCCATCAGGTTTATGCAAGTACCCATTCTCCACATCCATATTTTCAGACTTAGTGATTTGGCAAAACTGATATATATGAATATTTTTTATTGTGGTTTTAATTTACATTTTTCTGTTTACCAGTGAAAATGAGTGTCTTTTTCTATTTTATTGGCCATTTGTCCTTTATCTTCTGTGAAAGTTGTTTTATTGATTTTGTCTGTTTTATTATTGGTTGTTTGGTATTCCAGCCTGACCAATATAGAGAAACCCTGTCTCTACTAAAAATACAAAATTAGCTGGGCGCGGTGGCGCATGCCTGTAATCCCAGCTAATCGGGAGGCGGAGGCAGGAGAATCGCTTGAACCTGGGAGTCAGAGGTTGTGGTAAGCTGAGATCGCGCCATTGCACTCCAGCCTGGGCAACAAGAGCAAAACTCCATCTGAAAAAAAAAAAAAGAAAAGAAATATTGTCTTCTCAGAAATCTGTACCAATTCACCATCCCAACAGGAGCATGTGTGCCTATTTTACAACACCCTTCTCACCACATTAGTGCATCATCTTTCAAACAAGCATTATTGATTGAATAAGTAAAATGTAATTCCGTTGCTTTTGTAATTAACATTTTTTTCTTGGGTTATGAGTCAGGTTGATGTTTCTCTGTAAGTTTCTTGAGTAGTTGTAATTCTACTTCTGTGATACTTTAATGTTAATGTCTATCCTTTTCTGATTTATCTGTTTTGTATACCTTGATTAATTTGGAGGAGCTTTTTATATAGTAAAACCATCAATCCTTTGCCGTATTGTTGCACTTCTTTCCGTTTATTTTTTGCCTCTGGTTTTGTTCATGCACTTTAATTTTTAGTATTTTAACAAATAGTCATTTGTTAGTTGATTTTATTTCCTTGCAGGTATTAAATAATAGTCGGTATCTGAGGTTATTTTTTCTCTCCAGCAAAGTAAATAAAATGATAATTATGAAGAGATTGAAAGTGGTTATGATATTGCAATACTGTCAAGCCAGTTTTGGAAGCAGGGAATGTCCTACCAGACATATGACCATACCAGGTCATATATATCAAGTCCTGCCACAGTGGATATGTGGCTCACTTCAGCTTTTGTGGAGCGGGGAGCTTAGACAAAGTTTGGTCAATTCAGAATATGTATTTGTGCTCATTGACCCTGTCTCTAGACATCTCACATTCATGCTAGGTCTCTTTATTAGAGAAGTCTACACTTGCCAATGTCTTATTCTACTAGAGCACCCTTTTAAGCATATTAGCTTAGGTAATCCTCAAAACTTATGAAGAGAATATTAGTCAGGGTTCTCCAGAAAAACTGAACCAATAGGATGTATATATAAATATATAAAAGCGCATTTCTTTTAAGCAATAGGCTCATGCAATGATGGAGGCTGGCGAGTCCAAAATTTGCAGGGTGTGAGGTCAGACTGGAGACCCAGGAAGCACCAAGGCCACCGTTGAAGTCCAAAGGCCATCTGCGTAGAATTTTCTCTTGCTCAGAGAAAGTCAATCTTTTGTTCTAGTCTGGCCTTCAACTGACTGGAGGAGGGCCTGCCCTCATCATAAAGGACAATCTTTTGACTCAAATCCACTGATTTAAATGCTAATCTCATCCAAAAACACCCTCACAGAAACATCCAGAACAATGTTTGAACAAGTATCTGAGCATTGTGGTCCAGCCAAGTTGATACATAAAATTAAGCATCACAAGGCTGGGTGCGGTGGCTCATGCCTGTAATCCTAGCTCTTTGGGAGGCTAAGATGGGCGGGCCACAAGGTCAGGAGTTCAAGACCATCCTGCCAACATGGTGAAACCCCGTCTCTGCTAAAAACACAAAAATTAGCTGGGTGTGGTGGTGAGCACCTGTAGTCTCAGCCACTAGGGAGGTGGAGGCAGGTGAATTGCTTGAATCTGGGAGGTGGAGGTTGCAGTGAGCCGAGATCGTGCCACTGCACTCCAGCGTGGTGAAAGAATGAGACTCTGTCTCAAGAAAAAAAAAAAAAAAAAATTAAACATCACACGAGGTACTTTTATTAACTTCATTTTATAGAGGACAAAGTTGGAGCACTCAGAGGTTAAGCGGTGAATACAATTTTAGAATCAGACCTTGGCCCAGGCAGCTGGGATCTTCGCCACAGAAGTAGGATTCGCCCTGCTCTCCAAAGTCCCTGGGATGTTAGTCAAATTGATGTGTGTAAAAGGTTTAGTTTAATATTTGACAAAAAGTAACTGTTCAATACAGGTTTTTCAATAATAAAATCTCACCAAATCTAATTTCTGGATTTGCATAGAGTCAGGAAAGATCTCTTCCTGAAAAGAGTCAAATCCATAGCAGCTCTGCCTTTAACAATCAGGTAAAATGCAGTCATTTCTGATTTCCTTGATTAGAATTTATATTAATAATGCTTATTATCCTGGTTCAATTAAAAATACCAGAGCTGGGGAATATACGCATGTGGGTTCTAAACTGAAAGACTTAATTTTACGTTAAGGTTTTCATTCCATTTTTATTTCTATGATCTTCATCATTCAAAAAGTTTTTGTCTGATCAGAAGCATAGACACTGGTCTAAGAAACCTAATTCCTGCACTCTCATTTAGCAGCTAGGTGGTATTAGCTATATGAGGCTTGAATGTGCCCATTTCTGAAATGGGAATGTGACTCCACACTGTTGCAGGATGACTGGGTAAATCATTAAAGCACTCTTCCCAAGCAAATGTGAATACAAGTGAATGTTATTACATAAAGACTTTTCCAAAAGGCAGATAATCCTCATGCCTATGGGGCTGCACTAAACATTACAGAAGGAATTTGAAATTAAAAACAAAAAAAAGTTAATTCTATCTGAATAGGTACTATATTAATAATAATAAATGATAATTCTAGATTGCCAGATTTAGAGTAATTATTTTAATTGCATGTTTCACCATCTGGATGACAGTCCTGGGTGTTTAAACAAGTTTTCAATTAGTATTTCGAGGAAGTGCCAAGAAAATTGTTCTCTAAGCGTTACATTTCTTTCCCTTCTTTCATAATAATTTCCCTTTGTTTTCCCTTTTAATTTTAGGTTTTAAAAGATGATCTGTACCTCTGGCAGAGTGAATACAGTGACAATGACAAGTAAAGGCAACAATTTGGGGATGAACTTTGGCTCCGCTACTCAGGTAGACAGGACTTTGACTTCTTGGTGCCTCAGTTTCTTCTTGTGTCAAACTCGAAAGGATACCTATTAAACAGGATTGTAGTAAGGATTCAGTATGACAAGCCACATAAAATTCTTGGCATGGTGCCTGACACACAGAAGTTCTATGCAACCTACCTCTTATTACCAATGGCAAGAATATCATTCTGAAGAGTGCAAAGCTATTTTAGGCACATATATGGTTGTATATTCACATCAGCCCTCCAAGTTGCAGATTATTAGCCCCATTTACAGACGTGGAAACCAAAGCTTCAACAGGTTAAGAAATAAGCTCCGCGCCAGGCGCGGTAGCTCACGCCTG